TGGATGTTGATGCTTCGGTTCTGGAAAATGGCCAAGCTGCTTGTGGAGGAGTGATCAGAGATGAGGGAGGTCGGTGGATTGCAGGCTTCAAAAGAGGACTAGGAGTATTGCCATCTACAATTGCTGAGCTTTTGGCGATTCATACGGGTTTGGAGGTCTGTAGATCACTAAACTTACCAAATATACAACTCTGTTCAGACTCCTTGGAAGCGATTAATATGCTAGCGCGACCAAATGGAGGAGACCATCCTTTTTATAATGAGATAGAGGAAGTTAAGAGTCTGCTTTATGAGTGGCATAATGTTAGAATTAGCTATAGCAACAGGGACTCTATTGGATGCGCGGACAACATGGCGAGAACAGGGCACCAAGTAGGTCCGAGGTTAGTCATTGTACCTGAGGTTGATCCTGCCTGTAGGGAAAGGTATATGGAAGATCGAAAATTTATACGTAGGGCAGGTCCCTCAACGAATTGACGTCTTGTATTTTCAAGCGTGAGCTTGCCTTTTGTACCCAAAAAAAAAAAAAAAATAACACGCCGAGCTTCAGTTAAGCATTTAGCCTTCCAATTTGCCAATCTTGCTTGAACTTTGTCTCCTATATATATGATGAATACAATCGATAGACTTCCTTTTCCTAGTAAGAGGAAATCCAAGGTAAGTACTTATCTCATCAGAAATATTTATCCCCATGACAGCTTTAATTCTCCCTCTCAAACCAGGAGGAACTTTCTTTGGGAAGAAAATCAATGGCTTGGATTTGTTGACTTTCTGAAGCACTGCAAAAGCTATTTAAGCACTCCATTATTACACATTTGCTTGTTCTTCATTCTGAAGCCTCACCAAACAGTATGTCGTTCGCGAACATTACGTGGGAAATTCTTGGTCCACTCTCTGTGATGTAGAAAGATTTCCTTGCGTGCCTATTAACAGGATCACAAATAGCATGAGATAACATATGCGTACACAACAAACAGATGAGATTGGATCCCCTTAACGCACTTGAAAAAAAATTAACTTTTAGCGGTAATAAAAAGTTGCCACTAAAATTTTTAAGTGGTGATAAAAGTTCTTGGCATAACAACAGTGACTAGCGGCCATGTCGTCATCACATGACCACTTTTATGCCATGTCACTACCTTGCCACCATGTCATTGTCTAAATATTTTCAACTTAAATGTGTCTTTCTCAAGGTTTGAACTTACGACCACCTCTATTTGTGTCCAATCTTCATACTATTAAGCTAGATTAAACTTGCTGATTATTATTATAAAATAAAATATATATTATCATATTATATTGAAAGTCTAACTTTCAGTCGCATGTTGAAAGTCTGAGGCTGAATGGAGACCCCAAAAACTTTTAGCAGCAACAAAAAAAGTTGCCACAAAAAGTCTACTTTTAGTGGCAATATTTTTATTGCCATTGAAAGTCATACTTTTAGGGGCAATTTTTTTTTATCGTTGCTAATTATCACTGAAAGTCTTTTTTTTTTAGTGGTGACAGTTACTTTTTTATGTTTTGCTTAACAAATATTAATGTCAAATACACGTCAAATTTTCGTATTACTATCTCTAATTCTTAATATAAAACTAAGTTAATTAATTTAAAGAGATTGATGAAGCTAAAGAAATTAATTAATTATAGCATATGTTACATAATTTTTATTAAATACTTATGTGTACTATTATATTATATATCAGTTATAAGTTAGACAAACTAGTTTGAAAAAAAATTTAATACTTTTAAATAATTTATTTGGCTTTTTAAATCTTTCCAGATTAGTTAACTGGTCATATAAATTCCCATAAATATGCCAATTTGCCATAGCAGTGCAACATGATTTGGCATTGCATGAAAATATAATCAGGCTCTGATCAGCATACGATACCTGCCACAATAATGCTGATTGCTTTCTTCTATGGCAAGATCTTGTTTTGCTTGCAATAATACCATTTATGTTTGGATTACCTTAAAAAAAAAAAAAAATCACCTTTGCAAGACAAAACTCCTCTCAGGTTTTTTTTTTTTGTATAATGTAAAATCATTTTAAATAAGCTAAACCAAATATACTTTGCAGAAAGCATGATGGATATATATATATATATATATATATATAGAATATTGGACTTGCTATGAAATAACATACTACTACCTCCAGTCTTAATTATAAGAGTCAGTTGACTAATTTGAGGAAATTAAGGAAGTAAGTTGAGTTAGTTATTTGTCCTAGATAGGTGTTGTTTTTCCTAAAATATCCTTGCTAATCAAATGTATTGACTAGAACTATCATTGTTAAAAGGGCTACTGTGAAAAAAATGTATAAATATGATAAACAAAGTAGATTGGGGTCTTATATTTAGGATCAAAATAAAAGTCAAATAGGGTCTTATATTAAGGACCGGAGGTAGTATTAAGCAACTCTCCCCCCTTTTATTATGAAAATAGTTGTCGTTGATGAAATTATAGTTATCGTGAGTTATAGTTAAAGTTCTTACTCATCATCATCTTGAATTTCTCATTAAGTTCTAGGTAACTACTAACCCTCTAAACCCAATTTATTTTTAAAAAAGTAGTTTGTCACTAATGAACTTACAGTTGTCATTAGTACAAATATTGTTTAGTTAACATAGGGTCACTCATCAATACAATGTAAAATATAAGTTAGGATCACTATGATTCACCACAAATCCAATATGCAGCATATAAAAAACACATAATTATAATTAAAGAACTCAAATAACAAATTTTATGCTAAAAACTAAAAGAGGAAATAGTCTAAATTACTATATTTTTTTCCATCTCATTTTATGAGTAAGGTTTCTATTAATGCAATCTAGAGGTTGGCAAATATCCCCCCCCCAGTTTTTATACTTTAGATTTTTAATTTTTTCAAATTAAATTACAGACTTTTATGTACTAAGTTTAAATTGTTTTATATTTTCATAAATTTATATAATTAAATTAACCTTAAAACTTATAATTATAACCATATAATCTATTTTATATGATTATGCTATTATTATAAAAATGATAAATTAATAAATAAAAGTAAGAAATCACCTATGGTGACCCGCAAATTGGTAGGTTGGACTTACACTTCAATCTGTATTACCAAATCTATCACAAGCAACAATTTTTTGGCATAAAATTGCAACTTATGAGTTGAATTACTTGTGGTGGCCAAGAGAAACAAAAAGCAAAACTGTATGAATTGTCATTTGCGGTTGTGGGCTCTGCTTATGAATTTAATTAATTTATAGATTATATATAAATATAAATAATAAATCTGAACAATTAAAAAAGCTGAGGCATAAAGCGACCGATTTTCCTTTGCAAACATGCAACCTGAAGGTGGACCTCACGTGTTGGGGCAACGAATGCTATATAGAATTGACCAGCGAGGCTACCAATGCCCAATGGAAAGAAATTATGTATGAATTTCAAATAAGTAAATTAATTTCTGGTAAGTCTATTGAATTTGACTTATTATTATATTATTAGAGGTTCTTCAAAGAACTTGTACAAAATATATTACCTTCAGTCCTTAATATAAAACCTCATTTGACTTTTATTTTGATCCTAAATATAAGACCCCAATCCACTTTGTTTGTCATATTTATGTATTTTTTTCCAGAAGTAATCCTTCTAATAATGGTAATTCTAATTAATACACTTGATTAGCAAGGATATTTTAAGAAAGATAACACCTATTTATTACAAATAATTAACTTAACTTCTTTTCTTAATCTCCTCAAATTAGTTAACTAGCTCTTATAATTAGGACCGGAGGTAGTACTATATAAATTGTACAATTCTAGACTCATAAATATAGGAGAATTTTTAAAAGGAATATTTTTAAAAACTTCCTGATTAGAAAATTAACTATGCAAAGGTATCTAACGAACCAAATCCTTAAGCAAGGTGCAATTGTTCTCCAATTATGTACACATAGATGAAGAGAAGTCACGCATAGCCGGAGAAGAGTTGCATTCGTTGAAAATCTATTTCCTACGTTGTTCAACAAATTGTAGGTATTTTTGCACAATTAGTTTTAAAATCAGGGAATGTTAATCAATTTTTTATTTTTATAACTTGTCCTCCAATCATGTGGTTAAGACATTTTCACAAGTTTTTAAAGAAAAGTTATTAATAATAATAAGCTAAATTTAGAGAATTTATCGATAATTAATTTTTTAAGTTAGGGTTTCTATATAGTTTTTTCAAACAAAAAATGATAGCAAAACACAACTCAAATTGATGAGTTATACCGGTAGTAATAAGCTAGTCTTTTAGTCAGGCTAATCTAAAGTTTTGAATGAGTTAGGAAGAGTATGAAACACGTTTAAAATTATTTTTTTTAAAAAATATTTTTACGTAAGTTGAAATAAAACTTTTTATACTTTTTTCGAATACTAAAAAATTACTTTCAAAAAAATTAATCTAAACACCCAATCAAACCAGATTTTATACTTTTTCCGGTTTTTTTGAGTTATAGATAATATCATTTGATTTTTTTAAAAAGAAGTTTTCAAATTTGTGCTCTAATAATTCTGTTGTAATTTTTATAAATAAATGTTTTATTTACCTATGAATATTTTTTTATTTAAATATTGCTTTTTTGAAGTATTATATATAAAGATTTTTTCATGTAATTTAATTAATTACATTATTTTGATTATACCCTCATCTCATCCGCACTAGCCCTTCGCCGCCACCGGCGTTTAATGACCCCTTCCTTTGGAAAAAAACTTTCAAAGATCTATTCCTTCTTCAAAGGGCAGTCAAAACTTAGTAGAAAATTCATAAAATATTGGGAACTGTAGTGGGCCACATTACAAAGGCATCTCATGGGTGCTCAATGAGCCGTACTAGTCTGCAATTTGTCTTTGTCTGCCCACCACCGAAAAAAGATGGCTGTGCAACTCCAAGCTTGAGACTTGGACCTCTGAGATACACTTACTTGAAGGGAAAGAGAGAAGGATTGCTGCATTGCATTTTCAAAAAGATAAGTGTTGCTTCCACAGAAAGCGTAGCTTTCAAATATGGATTACGAAAGGATCCAAAAGCCTCAGGTGCTTTTATCTGTTTCACTTGCTTCCCCCCTTTTCGTTCTTTTGCTTGTTTTTATCCATTTTAGCTTTCCCTCTTCTGAATGCTTTATACTACAACCACCATTTTTAATCCTTTTTTCCTTTTGGGTTTTCGGTGTGGTTAGTGGGAAGTCTTTTTTGATCTGTCAGTTTAGACTGGCATGTTGACATTTTGAGTGAAATCTGTTCATGAGTTTATCTTTTGAAGTGATTGGTTTTGTGGGAACTTGGTTTTACAGAGTGGCGGGGGATTTTCGCCTGGAAAATTGAGGAATATGCTAATGGGAGTGGAGAAGAAGAAGAAAGACGAGGAAGAACCTGACTCTACTTTCACTTCGAGATCTCATGTTTCTGACATTGATGAATCAGGTATGGTTGCTTTCTTGGCTTCATTTTCCCCGCATAATGAAAATTAGTAACATGAATCTGAGATGTTGCTGTGTCAATGTGTAAGATTTGGCATGGTGTGGTGTGGTATCTTCACCGTTGGCATATCATCATGTGCGATTCATGCACTTCACTTCTTAAAAATTCTCGTCACTGTTGAAATTGAGTTATGCGCTCTGGGCTATGTTAAATGAGAGAGAGAAAAAGAAAACGAAAATGATGAAGAGGAAAGAAATAAGGATTGGTATATGATACCCTTGCCGTTTCATTATGATTTGGTGAAGAAGTTTTTCCCTTTTTACCCTTGATTTATTGATTGAATATCTGCTGTTGCTATCTTATGTAATCAACTTTTCATTACATATCTATCACAGGCGATAGCAGTTCTGATCAATGTAAAGATGTGGATGTTGTGAGTGTCCTTCCTGAATGTTCAACTTTAGCTACAGCTCGTTCTTTCAGCTCAGTCAAAGTTGCAGACCGTGGCAATGCAGCAGTCACTTCAAGACATAAAATCTTAGAAGAACCTTCTTTGGATTATGATAGTGGCCATGATTGTATGAGCATGTCATCATCCATGTTCGAATTTCAAAAGGCTGAGCGTGCTCCACAAAGAGTGCCCTTGGGACCATTTTCCAAACCAGCACCATCTAAGTGGGATGATGCCCAGAAGTGGATAGCAAGTCCAACTTCAAACAGGCCAAAGACAGGACAGGCCCAGGTCCAGAGTGAAAAAGTAGGATCACGTAAGGTTGGTAATCTTGGTTTTGGTCGGCAATCTTCACTGAAGGTTGTTGTTGAAGTTCCAGATCAAAGAGTGTTTGCTTCGGAGGAGCCAGACACTAAGCGAATTGATACAAATCAAACAAAGATGGAAAGTGGGGGCCAAAAGTTTGTGAGTTGGGAAGCTGAGCCTTATGCAATTGCAGATGCTTATGGTAAGCTTGCAATTTTGTTTGAGAATTCTTTAGTGAAGTCTTCAAGTAAAACATGCTTTAGTATATAGATCTTCTACAATGCAATTGCAACAAAATTTTCCAATATATGATACAGATATGGAAAAGTTGGTAAGATGGACTTTAATTTCCTCTGTAGATAATCCTCTTCTTGGGAGTGACATAAGCTGAGTAGTTGTCAGTGGAAGTTCAAAGCCATTGGATGTGGTTTAGTGGTGCGGGATTTGGGTCATATGCAGGATGTCTCAGTTCGACTTTCTATGCTCCCATGCACCAAAAAGAAAAAACATGTGGACTAAGAAGTATAATAAGCAGCTATTTTTCATGCTGATTGTGTCAGAATTAGTCGTGGATGAAGCTGTAGGATACACAATCGTGCTTTTTAACTCTAAAGTAACTAGGCTTTTTTTTTTTTTTTTGGGTTTATTTTCAGCAAGGGATAATATGGGCCTCTTTTTTCTTGAACAAGATCTTCAATATCTTCACAAATGGATATTAACAAACGTTTTATCTAACAATTGTGGGGATCATACCATTCTGTTTGAAAGATTAATCATCTATGAAATTTAAAATACTTGCATATGATGTAAACATCAATAAGCAAATTCCTTCAATTTACTGAAAAGCTAGTTAATTTCACAACAGTTTCTGTATTTAAGAGATTTTAGTTTGATCGGATTTCAATAGTAAATAATTGAGCTAGATTAATGAGAATTTGGTATGTACTGATATGTTATATTGAGCAATGAAAGAGCCGATTCATCTATGTGTGTGGAAAGTTAAGCAAAAAAGCCACGTTGTGTTGGACAAACTTTTGCATCTTGAAATAAAAACGTATAACTTAAACATGTTGATGTTTTGGACGTATTTTCTTTTCAAAGTTTCATTCCTAACTTCGGTTTAGTAAATTTAGCTAAGGAATCATGGAAACTGAACTGAAACTTACTACTTTGGTTTATCCCTTATTTCCTTTTGGCATTTGATATTGGCAGTTAATCTCAGCCAGCATAATTCATCTATGGCCATCCAGAGTGCAACAGCATTCATCCCTCCCCCTTCAACAGCTCGGTCTGTATCAATGAGAGATATGGGAACAGAAATGACCCCTATTGCTAGTCAGGAACCGTCAAGGACTGGTACACCTGTAAGGGCAACAACACCAATGCGCAGCCCAACTTCTTCTCAGCCTTCTACCCCAGGCAGAGCTCCCCCTGCATCAACACCAATTGATCTACCTAGTGGACATCTGGATCTCAACAAGAATGAACTTTCTGAAAAGGAGCTGCAAATGAAAACCAGGCGAGAAATAATGGTCCTTGGGACACAATTAGGTAAAATGAACATTGCTGCTTGGGCTAGCAAAGAGGAGGAAGATAAAGATGCTTCCACTTCACTTAAAACTAAAGCAGCTGAACAACAACCTAAAAGTGTCATTGAAACACGTGCAGCAGCATGGGAGGATGCAGAGAAGGCAAAGTATATGGCCAGGTCAGTTTTCTCTTATCGTTCAATTTATTATTTATCACAGCTACTTTTTTTCTGCTTAGTTTGTCTAACACATCCATGCATCTTTCCTAATGAAATTTGAATCAACTACTCCCTTATGGTGGTTGACTCTACAGGAAGCTGTATTTTCCACATTTCTTTTGATGATGTATGCAAAAAATTTGATGCTCTTCTTGGCTTCCTTCTGATTGGATATTAGAATGTAGTTTTTGTATGAAAGCCATCTTAGATATCTGTTGATAATGAAAGCAGAAAAATCTCAGTGGAAATAAGTTCAGTTACAACATAAAAGATTGTTAAAATGTATGGATCTTACAAGCATGTGGCAGCACTGAAGGGCTGTTGGCTTTGATTACATGATTAAAATTTTATCATCATGTATAGTAATTTACGATACAAAGCGTTATATCCTTGTGCCTATGCTGTGCGCATAAAGGACTGCCAATATTAAATACCTTAGGTTTTCTAAATATAATCCAATTTTTTATTAGTTTGGATTCTAATAGAAGATAACATCCTTACACACCAGATAGAAATCAAAAGAAGAAAAACAATGTTAAGGGAAAACTGATAAAGCTACAAGTACTCATGGTCTTGAATTTACTGATGAGGTTTGGAACTTTCATATCTCTGTTCTGCTTTACACCCGATAGTATGTGTGAGGTTGGCAATACTTGACTAATTATTTCCCTGCCCCTTACAGATTCTTAGCCTTGCCTTTTACCCCCTTTCCTTGCCTTTTCTTTGTGCGTGTGTGTGTGATCTGAGGCAAATTGAGGAACGGTTAAAAAAATTCCTGTATCGTCTGGATAGTGGAACTTGAGACCTATTTATGATGAGCTTCACAACCGTTTGAGAATAATTTGCACTGCCACACTAGATATTCTCTGAAGCAAGAAGTTTTGGCATTTATTATGCAGATTTAAGCGTGAGGAGATGAAAATACAGGCGTGGGAAAATCACCAGAAGGCAAAAACAGAAGCTGAGATGAGGAAGATTGAGGTATATGCTGTTTCTTATAGTTAATGATTTCATTCCTCCCGCCATTTCTTTCTCAATTTTTTTCACTTTCTTTTCTGTTCGACACTCTGGATGGTGTTCCTTAGTCCTTTTCCCGAGATCTACCACCCAATTCTTGGTAAGATTTATCTATGTGCCTAAACTTGATCCTGATCACTTGAAAAAGAATTTTAACTTGCTCCATATCTTCTTTTATCATGTGAACTTATATTGGATGGCCAGAGGCATCTTTTTTCGCCACTTCGTTACTGTAATAAATCATCGTTTTCGGCAGCTCTCACATCCTTACTATTGAGTTTTAAATATTGTTCTGCTCTGAAATATCTTGCTTAGGGTAGTAACTCGTTAAAAATGATTTGAAAAGTAGTTTAAGGTCCACATGCTGAACAAATGCTTCAATGACTTAAAAATGAGTTAAAGAGATGGCTAAAACTAACTTCTAGAGTCTGAGAATGATGCTAATCTATAGTCAGTCCTAGGCATGACTAAGAATTCTTGGAAGTTCTTTTTGCTGTGAGTGGACATACGAGACTGCAGAAGCCAAGTGCCTGAATGTTTTGCTATGAGATTTTTTTTTTTTTTTGGGGGGGGGGGTGTCTCCTTGTTTCTATTGAGAGTGGTTAAATGAGAATGGGGTTTCTTGCAGGAAGTAGTTCTAAGAAGGGAGGGGGCCTTCTGGTATCTATCTACTAAAGGGATAGAAAATGCTTTATTCGATAAGATGTCATCAGAAAATTTCGGGACAAAAGAAAGGTTATTATAGCTTTTTTTTTTTTGGGCGCGGGGGGGGGGGGGGGGGTTGTTTAGCATACTCGGGCAAGTATAGGACAAGGACTTTAGTTTCTAGGGGATGACATTGCGTTGGGTGAAATGCTCTTTCTTTGACAACCTCGTAATCTTGTAAACAGTCACTTGTGGAGGTAGGATAGGAACTCTATCCAACTACAGTGAAGTCCCCTATTCATTGTGCAAAGGTGCATCATGACGTTTTCACCAGCGGTTTATGGGCCACCTCTCCTCAGACCCTTCCTCTTTCCTCTAAGCTCATTAAGTTGGAGTCTGATTCTGGAATGAAGAAAATAGAGTTGAGTGCTAGTGTCATTGTCGTGTTGTGGATAGGTGACCCAGGAAGGAACAAAAGATTAGAAGACCGGAATCCTTATCGCTGGCTAGATTATCATTTTTCTTCGAAAAAGACTCTGCTTGAATTCCAATAATGATTTTATCATCTGCACAATTTCATTTTCACTGGTGGAAATGCCTGAAATTTGAACAACTGGATTTTCAGATATTGACATTAAGACGGGCTTTAATGTTGTGAGTAGAAAAAAGAAAGCATTTTAACTTCTAACTTGAACTTTCTTCTGAATCAGTCTATTAGCCTTTGCCATTTTAAAACAGACTCTTGTTGCATTTACGTTACAGAACTTGATGCTTCATTCCTTCTTCATTTTGTTCCTCTCAGACCTTGTTATCAAGTTATGTTGTAAAGGGAATTTATGGGGGCTAATACATCCATTTTAAGCTTCAAGCTCTATTAAATTTGCATTTCCAAGAACTCTTGTGATTCTAAATCACATGGATTTCAGGTAGAGGTTGAAAGAATGCGAAGTGGAGCCCATGATAAGCTCATGAATAAACTCGCATCTGTGAGGCACAAGGCTGAGGAGAAAAGAGCAATGGCAGAAGCCAAAAGAAATTGCCAAGCTGCAAAAATTGAGGAGCAAGCAGAGTACATACGCAAAACCGGCCATGTCCCGTCATCATATCTCTCATTTTCTTGCTGCAACTGGTGCTCATAGAGAAATGCAGATTGGGGCTTTGTTCCTTCCCACTTCCCAGCAATTCATCATTTGGTATGGTACACTGTCTTTTTCTCAAATGTCTGTTGTGTTTTCTCCTCCTCAGGTCATACCAGATCGATGAGCAATCACATGACAGGATGTGGTCATACATGTTCATTTTGAAAATCATCAAAGGGAAAGTTGGGAAGTCTGTGTTATCTCTCAGAATTTTAAGGCTTAACTTTGTAATTAGTGTATAAACTTTCAAATGTAAGGAGATAGTTTTTAATTTTGAACTAAAAGAAATGCTCAAGTTTAGCCAATATTGATTATGAGTTGTTTCCATGATTCTACAATTATTGTGGATCAATATTGGTTCGGAGAAAAATGCACACATAAACGGTCACCTGCAAGGTGGAAAAAAATGAGGAAGCTCTTTCAGTGTTTTTTTTTTCCCCTCACCCATCAAATATAAGAATGAAACTTGTATTAATATCCAAGTTGAAACTTACAACCCATATATAAGCGAAAAAAGAAATCAAATCAAATCAAAAGACAAAGGAAACTTAAACAAAAGGCCTGTTTGGTTCAATTAGAGACCTGCAATGCAATGTAATGTGCATAAAATTTTTGGGACTGGGAGATTATGTTGAACAAAATTAGGCTATCAAACAAGGATTTAACATTTCAAGATTTTGGATAAAAAATAATATTAAACTCTGGTTCTAGTTCTACCTTCAAAGATAAGCAACTTCATGTCATATGGGTCAACCAATATTGATAGATCCATCAATATATTTAGATAAAATATAAAATCAATGATAATTAATACTATTTCAATATGCACATTGCCCTATCCACACATACAATTCATATATGCACTTATTTACATGTTTAAAAAAGTATATAACTTGAATTACCAACTCAACATCTTAAAATTTAAAGTTAGTTAAAATATATATATAACATAATTTGCTTTTCAAAAACACCATTATTTATGGAAAATATGGTGGGAGAAAGAATAATTAAAAAAAAGAAATGAGAGAAAATGAGGACAAGTATTAAAAAAAACGCACTAAATGTCTAAACATTTTCAAAACGTCTCTTATAAAAAGAAATATGCCCTTTGAATGAAATATCTCATGAATAGGACTGAGGGATTATTAAAATGGTGCATAATCTTTAGGTATCCCCACTTCAGATTCAAAATTAGAAGATCACCATTTACAATGATAGAATGAGATGATCGGCGCAGATCTCATAATTAAACTGACAAAACCACTTGCAGTTTTCTTTCATTCCTATCCACCGTTACCCTCTCAGAAACCCAAGCACTAGAGCCATGTGTCCTCTCTTCCCTCCTCTTTTTCCTGAACTTCAAATTGTGTGCTGAACAAGGCTTTCAAGGGCGATCAATTGTCATCAAATCTGGCAGCAACATTAGGCGAAAAAGACAAGTTCATAGTACCTTTTATCTTCGAAGTTTCTTTTTATTTTGGTTTTAATCCCTAAAATTTGAAATCAATAATTTTAGATCCTAAAATTTTACTTCATTTTGGTTCATCTTAAAATTTTTTTATCCCTCGAATAATGTTTTTAGTGTTTGAAATGAGGATCAAAATCAAAATAAGGTCCAAAAATTTTAGGGAGTAAAAATGATGTTAACCCTAAAAAAACACAAACCTATGAATTCACTAACATTAACCATTTTATATTACCTGTGAACATTTTAAGTAATATTGACTTCAAACGTAAGACAGATTATTTACCAATTGGATCAAATAAAAATAACTTAACATTTTTTCTTTAAAAAAACAAGGTCTCATATTTAAGCTTTATTGACAAAAAATATCTTAAGAAAATTATTCTATATTTTAGATTATTATAGGAAAAAAAACAGTATCCTTTTTATCAACATCTTCCATTATTTTCTTGCAATCAAACATTTTTGGTTTTATTTTATTTTTTGAAGGGACAATTGCACGCACTATCCTTTTAGGCCACTGGCTCGTTGCCATCATTTATCTTTTGAACTTGTGTTGTGATTTTTTCCTTTGCATTTTTGATTACTTGAAAAGTATGAAGACTAAAATGGTATAAAATTCTTCTCAAGTTTGACTGATATACAAATAACTCTTAATATCTAAAACTTAAACCTATAAATTTTCAAGTTTGAGTACTTGCCTCTATTATAGATAATATAAATATTTATTACAAAGATATCAAATTTGATTTTGAAGGTGAAACAAATCTAAGTATAAAGACTGTGTTCGGTTTCTCAAAACCATGATTCAGAGATAAAGCAAATATACCCTTTAACTCACACTTGAATCCATGTTAGAATTTACATTCATGCGTATCATTCAATTGCCCTTAATTTGTCTGTTATTTAACTAAAACAATATAATATTACAGAGAATTTATTTACTTATAAGTTAGTAAGAGATTAACTATACATGACTCAAAGTTTGAGAGATTATTTACACAATTACTGACTAAAGTTTAAGAACGTAGTTGGTTATAGCATATTGTGCTCTATTAGTAAAAGAAGAAAATAAATCATTGATAAAGCGTTCTTTGCATAAAATGAAAGTTTAGGAGAGTTTTTTTTTGGGTTAAGTTTTAAAAAATTAAGGTAATTATTTTCACATGAGTTAAGGTTCAAGAAAATTTTCCATAATTAGTTATTATATTATATTATAAAGACACAAATTATTTTGATCATAATATATATTATTTGATTCGATCATAATCAAATTATCAAGACAAAAAAGATTTTTTTTATTATGATTGACCGACAATTGTAATTTTGAATACACTGACTTTGATAATCTTTATTATATGAAATCATTATTTCCCAAGTCACTTTTCATCATTACCAGACTGTTTGTTTTACCTTCAATTATGAAGTCCAAGCTAACTGTTCAAAGTTCAAATTCTTCATTTTTCCGAAGCAAAAGGCCCTAAGAAAAGAGGGAAAACTTCCAAATTATTGAGCTCTCCAGCTGTGAAAATTTTAATTCCAATACTGCCCATTGAAAGGTCCTCCAATTGAATTTTAACCAAGTGGAAAGAAAAAAATGGTGCTGATGTAATTTTAAATGTTTTTGTATTATTTTGACATTGTAGTTATTTATTTATTTATTTTCTCTTGTTATGAAGCCAATTATTCAAAACACTATCAAGTGCTAAATATATATATATATTTTTTTTAGTGTTGGTGACAATTGTATTTATTTTGAAGGAGGGCAGACCAACCAAAGTCCACCTAAATGGTTAATGTACCAATTTATATTGTAAATGGTTTTATTTTGATAATAGCTTACTCAAATACTTCTCAAATATTTCCTTTGATTCTAATATAAAAGCTAGTTGAAAGATTTATTTTAGTTATAAATCTTACTAATCAAATTTATAATTTCTTTTCAGATTAATCCCTATAAACTGCATATATTAAAAGGGATTTTTATTAATGAAAATAGTTGCAATACAAATTATTTACTTAACTAATTTTTTTTAATCTATAAATATGTTATCTAACTTTTATATTTAGAATAAGTAAGGGCAGTGGTTTGTGCAATAACAAATCTATTTAAAAGAGATATAATGGCTTCTAAATGAGACTTCGAATATCTTGGGAAATTCAAATCCATGCCCACTAGTGAACTGGGGTAAAAAGAAAGAAGATAAAAGCAAAGTTGCCAAACTTAAACCTAACCTATCAATCATGTGGGAAAAAAGTGGAACATCCCAAAACTTTGCTTGCCCCTTTTTCTGTATTGATTTGTCTGGAGACTTAATAATAACACCTTGTTTGAGATAATGATATATGCATTCTCACATAAGCAATTCACAGACACACACACACACGCACACTTCTTCCATCATTCGTTTGAATGTGGATCCCACTCTTGCTATCTCCATTTCTTTTTTGTTTTTTTAGCAGGGCAAAATGATATTAAGAAAATAATAATTTACAAAATAAGTTAAGATTTTTATTTTACAAATAAAATTGTAAAAGAATCAAAGAAAAGACGATAATAACACGACTAATATAGACCCATGAGAGCCTGCAAGGGTCGGGTCTGACTAGTTGCAAACGGGAATGCAAGACGCCTTCCTTACCATGTCATGGGCTTGATACCTGCGAGTACACCTGGGATTAGTCTGGCCGGTTGTGCTAGGATACCCTGAGGCAGCGATATCATCCTACTCAAAAAAAATATAGACTCATGAGAAATATCATGCGGCAAAGATAAAAGGAAAAATTGTTTAAAAAAAGACTGCCAAAATAAAAAAAAAAATTGCATATGGGGACTCATGACAATATTAATGTGAGTTTTGATAATAATTACGAGTTTTGATGATAATTTTTGTACACAGGTTCCCGTGTGTAAATTTTTTTTTAATTCTGATGACTTTTTTTGTGTGGTGATTTTCCGAAGATAAAATCTTCTCCCAGGTTACGAAAGATATTTGAGCAGGATCAATAGGAATATTTAGCGTTTTGCTGGGGGAAAATGGTTCCTCCAACAGATGTCGCAAGGGGGGAAAATGAAAATATTTCTAATTTTAGTGACTCCAGTCATTTGAATAAATTGTTCTTCTGAAAATTATTCTATCCAACTCAATTTATTTGTCTCAATTTATGAGTATTGGGGACATTTGGCTTCACCTCTGTTAATTATGTTACTCTTTAACTATAAGATATCAATCTATTTTGATTTTTTTTTCAATAATCTATTTTATTTTCTAAACTTGTAATTTTTCAAATTATTCATATCAATTGTACTACTTTCGGTCCTTAATATAAGAACTCATTTGAATTTTATTTTGATTCTAAATATAAGACCTCAATCTATTTTGTCTCTCATATTTATGCATTTTTTTCAAAAATAATCTTTCTAACAATAATAGTTCTAGTCAATACACTTGATTAACAATGATATTTTAGAAAAAATAATACTTATTTATTACAAATAACTAACTTAACTTTTTTACTTAATCTCTTCAAATCAGTCAACTAGCTCTTATAATTAGGATCGGAGGTAGTATATGTTTAAGGATTTTCGTAGTTTCAGAAAAAATCATAAAATATTTAAAAAAAATCAACCCACATTTTCTCAAAAAATAACTAACTTTTCAGTATTTCACATTTTGACCGTTTTTCTTTTCTTTTTGCGAGAAGCACTGTCACCTTTTTCTCACCAAGAGCAAATCCAGCCGGAGATTCACATTTTACTGCAAGATAACGGAAGATAAGTGGAATTAGTTGGCTTCGGTTCCCGCGAGGGAAGCTCCGGTCAAATAACGCGCCTCTTTCTCTTGTTCTCAACTCAATTCTCTCCTTCACCTACGGCGAAGGGGCTAATCCGAAAGCCGTAATGGAAGCGGCAATGGGATTGATGCGCAGAATTCCCCCAAAGCACACCGATACTGCTCTCTCTGCGCTTCTCAGCCTTCTCCCTCATCACTCATCCGATCTCCTATCTCAAGTTGATCAGCCACTCCAGGTCTCTCCCATCATCCTCACAACTAGATGCATTTTCCTTTCATACTTTGGTCCGCCTAAATGTGAAACATTTCTGCGCTTTTTCAGTTTTTTTTTTTTTTTTCCTTTTTGCGTTCTTTAGGTTTCAGGGTTTAATCAATTCTGATACGTTTGCCTCGGAAAATGGGGGTGATTATCATTCCATGGTGCTTAATACATTACAAAATACGGTTATCAATGGTTTGAACATAATTATATGACTGATGCAATGACGCTTGCCCTTTTTTCAAAAAAAAGAAAAAGAAAAAGGAAAGAAAACAAGAAATTGGAGAAGTATTTTCGAACTTAATGGAATTTTGGATGACTACAGGTTTTGTGCGACGTGGACTGTGGGAAAGAGTTCATTTTGTGTGAATATAACCGAGATGCTGATTCTTACAGGTAATTTATCTTTTAGTTTTTACATCCTCATGGTTATTGAGGTAATAATACTGTTTAAAGTTCTAGGTCATAGTCTCTAACCTCTTTTTAATCTTTGGATTTTAGTTGACTTACAAATTTCAACTTTTTATCAATGCCAATTTAAGCCAATAGTAGGTCTTAATTCCTAGAAGTAAAATAACTCATAATCTTTAGTTCCTCCCATCAATCGATTTTGTGAAGGACCTTGCCATTGAATAGCACTTAATGCAGTTCAGATTTTTTAAGTAAGCAATGATTAAACAAGAAATCATGCCTTCTCTAGAGTTAAAGTTTCATATAACATAATTTAAACTGGAAAAATTGAGTCATGCCTATTTATATATAGGCCAGATATGCTGACTTGTGTGAGCTAACTCCTCTGTATTCTGAGTTAGCCCTTATCGCTGTGGTTTGTTTTCCATCCATCCATGCACTGATGTTGGCTTCTGATCTTTGCCATGAACTTTTCCATGAACTTTTCAGTTTTCACTTATGCTACTAATAATGGTCATCACCCTTTGAAAACATAGTTTCAAAATTTATTTTTGGTTTATGCCATATCTTTTCTCTTCCTAAAATCTGTGGGGAATAGTATCATTCAGTCACCCATAAAAAGTTGACATCTGCTTTCTGAGTGGACAAATATTTATAGTAAATATCTTTGTAGACTCTGTTTCTCTTTCCCTTTAGTGAATATTGTTTTCATGTTCCATGTTCTGATCATAAAAGAAGCAATCATTGATTAGATTGAAAGCATTGCCATGGAATTTTCATAGACTACTAAATCAACCCTAAGTATCATATTCTGTAAGCTGCTCTGCTACTAAAACTCTTCTTTGTGTAAATAATGAATGATATGGTTTGGACTAAGATTTCATCAAGTCTGTGCCAATCCCTTTCTGTATTTCGGGAAGATGGTGATGAACCATATATTTGAATAATTGCTAATTCCTAGAGAATTATTAAGCCCAAAATTCATCATAGAATCCAGACTTATTGTTCCTACCCCATTAACATAAGATTAACATAAATTTATCAGATATTGTAATTACAGAGTTAATTGTAACTATTTTCCCTGAAAAAGGATAATTTTAACCATTAGCCAAAAAGAGTTAACATTTTTATTCATATTAAATTTATTATGGAAATGGATAAACTGATGAAAATGACATGCTACGTTAAGTCTGCAATGATGATGAACTGTAAGTTTTAAATGCTGACATTTGTTTTCAACCCATATGTGTTATGTGTAAACTTATCATCTTCCTACTAATATGTCCCTTGACTGAAAGAGAAGAATGGTTGTAGATTCAATTGGTTTATAATTTATTGAAGAGTTTAACAAAGCATGTTCATCCCCTAAACTTTGAACCAAGTTTTGATTTTTTCCCCTAAGGTTTCCTTTTCTTCCACCCTTTTCCTTTTGGTTTTAACTAAATCTTCAAACTTTTGATGTGGTGTCAACTTTATCCTTTAGTGTTCATTAACATAAATGACCTTTGATATACATCAAAATGGTATAATATGTGTTTAAGTTAATATCCATTTAAAAAAAAAAAAAAATTGCTACGCTGATAATAACCTAAATTTTTTATGCCATCTTGTGTCATTTTGGTAGGAATTACTAGTCATGGTTTCTAGTTGAAATCAAAAGATTTCAATATTTGCATAACTAATATATAGTATTGTCAGTGCCCTATATATTTAAGAAGAAAATTAGATAGAAAATATTTACGGATGAAACTGAGATCTGCCCCAAAGTTTAGAGATGGAAGTATATTACATTCATGAATGTTCTGTTCGACTGCTAAATGAGACCCAGATATAAAAGAGCAGTAAATAGTACTTCTTTTGATATATTTGAGTTTGGTTTACATCGTTACTTAGCAATCAGTGATTTCCTGCATTGAATACTACATAATGAATGAGATGTTAAGATTTTATCTTGATTCTGATCAAGGAATATGCTGCATCTTGTACTTTAGCCACTGCTGGATTGGAAAGCTGATTTGATATTAAAAGTTTAAAACCTAGAATTTAGTATGTCTTTAGCCTATAGGATTTGCCTATTTGGCATTCTTAGGTTGAGCTATATGGACCATTACCTCCGTCAACCCACAAGCAAATACTCAGTGTCAGTCCCCTTATAATAAACTCAAATTTCCAGACCTTTTACCTTACGGTTGCATGGCAAATTTTCCATGTAAATAATTTAAATCCACCAGTTGTTGGGTGCTGTTTTTCTAAAGTTTCTAATATCTTGTACAAGATACCTTTTTTTCTTGTAATGAAGTTTCCTTGAAATTGTTGGCTAAGTTTGTTGCTTGAACTTTCAAATGCTGTATCTATCAACTCTAAAAGTTTAACAGTGAAGTCTTTATTCTTACGCTCTAATGCTACAAAGATTTTCATTTTCAGTTCTCTGTTTTGATCTGAGAATTTAGCCAAGTTTTTTTTCTCAACCAATTACTGTCATTTCATTGGAGAATTTGGAGACATTATTTGCAAAAATACTTGATCTTGAAGTGGAGACCTGGACTTAGTTTATTAGCTCTAAATTCTAATGGTAAAGAGTTCTTATAGAACAGATTTATAATTTACTCCTTGATGAATGAGTCCTATTTTCTTTCCCTTTTATTTAGGATAGATGATGTTAACTTTATTGCTGTACTGTATCTCTGTGCAGATCACCCTGGTCGAATAAATACTATCCACCATTGGAAGATGGGTCCCTCCCTTCTTCAGATTTGAGGAACCTTGAAATTGAAGCAAATGAGATATTTGCCGTATATTGTGACCAGTGAGGTCCTTTACTTACCTCATCTTCTGAGTTCCTCTGCTTTGTTAGATATGCATGTATTGTGAAGAAACTTATTAACCTGTCCAGTTTTATATGATTTCTTTCCTTTTTTCCCCCCTTTTTACATGATCCCTGTTTTTTGTTGAATGCCACTTGATGGTGGGTTTGGGTTGATCATATAGTGTTTTTCTTGGGTTATGTAAGTTTATATAGCCATTTATATGTTATTATAGTTTAAAAGAATATGCGCCATTAATGGATAATGTCATAGATATTATGAAGGTGGCACTTCATCGGTTTACATGTGGGAAGATGACAATGAAGGCTTTGCTGCCTGCTTTTTAATTAAGAAAGGTGAGCCTTTTCTATTTGAGTTAATTAACCCGAAGCTTCTCATTGTTAGCTGATATTTCATTATTGTTGTGATTGAAGATGGCTCAAAGACTGGGCAGGGTCGACGGGGCTATTTAGAGGAAGGAGCATGGGATGCCATACATGTTATAGAGGTAAATATCTTTGGATGGCTGACTAAGTTTGTTGTTATTGCAACCACTTTCAACTGATGGGAGTACACTTCTGCTTGGTTTTTGAATTTTTTAACTGATTTAGCGAGATTTTTTTTCTTGGAATATGATGGAGCAAGGGTTTGATTCCAAGACCTTTTGCTGACTCCTCAGGCCTTTCAACACTAAGCTGCATCTGATGGTTTCCCCAGATTTTTCTTGGTCTTTAGATATGCCTGAACTCATCTTTTTCATTTTTTTTATCCCGTTTATTCATTGTTGATGTAGGTGGGACCTGAGGAAGAAGGAACAACCAATTATCGTTTAACCAGTACAGTGATGCTGACTTTGACTACAAATAATGAGTCATCTGGAACTTTTAGTTTGTCTGGATCAATTAGAAGACAGGTACTCCTTTAGTAGGATGTAGTCATGGTGGCAATTTAGATCTTTTTGTTAACAATTGCATCCCTGCATTTTTCTCTTATAAAGCCACATATTTGACAAGATCACTCCTTTTTATTATTGAATAATGTAATTGTCAGTCATTGCTGAACGCAAATTGCATGCATTAGATATAGTATAGGATAGATGTTAGCATGGTCATCCATGGAATAAGTGCTTAACTGGAAGAGATGTTAGCATGACCGTTTGGTAGCCTGGAAGAGTTTTTATGGAAATCGGAAGTAGAAGTAGAATTGGAACGTTTTTATGGAAATGAAGCTAGAAGTGGAAGTAGAAGAGTGAGTTTTAAAACACGTTTGGTATAACCATGGAAGTGGGATATAAATTTTAATTGAAATATGTATTAATAAAGTGAAAAATACCAAAATGCCCTTGAACAAGAAAAAATCTCCCTACCAAAAAAATCTCCACCACCAGATGCAAAGCACAATCGAAGGAATTGAACCACCAAACCAGTGATTTCAACTTTGATGGGAGATTCAAAAGCTTCAGCTTTGCATGTTGCAAGCTTTATTTTGAGATTCCCAGGCTTCAATAAAAAATGGAGAACAAGGAAGTGGAATGGAGAAGACGAGATCGGAGGGGGAAGATGAAATCCAGTGGTAAGTGAGGAGGCGTGGAGGAGGGAAGGAGATGAGATCTGGTGGTGAGTGAGGAGCCGTGGAGGAAAAGAGATGAGATCCTCACTGCTCCTCCTCCACTGCTGCTGCTGCTCTCTCTGCTCCAGATCTAATGCCAGCAAGAGCATCATTGGGAGCTTGGAGAAATCTGAGAGCTTTGGCCAAGGAGATGCTGTCCACCACGTGTCATGCTCACTAGAGTTGTCGTCGTCTGTCGTCATGCTCATTGAAGTTGTCACCATCTGCTGTCATGCTGGCCACAGTCACTGTTGCTGCCATGATGGCTGTTAAATAGAAGGAGTGGTGGGGATGGGGCAAAATGGTTAGAGACCTAGTTCCATGAGAAGTTCTTGGCCCCCCGGGGGGAACCATGGAACTGAGTTCTAATGTTTTTGATGGAACTGAGAGTTCCATGGAAGTGAGTTCTAGAATACCAAACACCCAAAACTTGGGTTCCACTTCCACTTCCACTTTCCACTCCCTCACTTCCATGCCACCAAACATAGCACAATTGTCAGTCATTGCTGATTGTAAATTGCATGCATTAGATATATAGAATAGATGTTAGCATGGTCATCCATGGAATAAGTGCTTAACTGCTGGCTTTAGCTTGATTTAGTTGGCTTTAGGAAGCATCGGCTCCCAATCTTGCTTAATCAAGGAAAGGCTTAATAAATCTGGACAATTTTCTTCCTTCTTTTCTTGGTTTGACTTTACGGTTCCTTAGGAGAACCTAGATTCACTGTTTTAAATACAATCACGTCTTAGGATTCAAGATTTTATTAATCCTCCAGTCAACTTTGTGAACCTTGCCAGTTGTTTGTGGATATTTTAGTTTCTCCAGTCAATCAATAGTAGCGTATAATCTAACAATTCGCTAAATAGTCTTTCTGAAGAAGCGGCTTGTACTAGTTTCATTTGGAGTGCTCTAGTGATGCTACAAGTCAGCATAGCAAGAGTTGTAAGCTTAGTATGTTTAAATCTAACTTTTGTCAGGGGAATGAGTTTAACTGCTAAATGGTAATTTTAAAGAGATGGCAACATCTTTATAGAAAATAGTGACCATTCCAACTACTGCAGATCAACAATTAAGAGAAAAACTCTGCATGACATTACTTTTCAGAATTGTTGATTTTTATGCCATCTCTAGCAACTTTAACTTTTATAGCCTCCACGAAGTCTTGACATAATCTGCATAAAATTGCAGTCCTCATCCATTTCTGAAGAATACCCATCAATTGACTCAACAATTTCGTCTTCGAGGATGGGATTGTTGACAGCTTCTTGGTGAAGATGGGCAAGATTTTCTTTTTAACAGATGCTTTGTATTTGACCATAAAAACAAATGATTTATAAAAATCAAATACCCATGCATCAATCCTTGTCATACTTTGTCATATCATTTTAGTAATTCAGTCGATTTATGTCATTTTAGTAGTTCAGTCGATTTATGTCATTTTAGTAGTTCAGCCAATTTATGATTATTTTCTTGAACTCCATCGATTGGGGAATAAGAGATCATATTCATACAGACACGTGGGGCCATTAGTGCAGTTTTGGTTGAACATCCTCTAAATGATAAAAATAATTCAGTGATCAAGCTCACATAGATCTGGGCTTAACTTTGTGTTCAGAAGACTATATACATCTGTAACTACATTTTAAGTTACCCAAATTGCTCAAGTTACAGATCCTAATTTTGAAAATATTACATTAACATTGTTACATAAAATAATAATAGATAAATCTTCCTATACACCATTAGTCAAATACTCGTTGAATTGCTCCTGCTTGTCAAAAACAAAATTTTTGAGTGGGTGACCTGTACTTGAGGTAGCATAAAATTAGTTTAAGGTGGAATATGCATTCGTCAATAAGGCCATCTACATCCTAAAACCATAAATATTATGTATATATCATATACTTTTTCTTTATTAATATGCAAGTGTTTATCCTAAAATGAGAGCTCTCTCACATTGTAGATGAGCATGAGACTGTCAGTTGCTGAGGGACATATTTGTAACATGGGAAGAATGATTGAAGAAATGGAGAGTAAACTGAGGAACTCACTAGACCAGGTATTTTACTTTATGATCTCATCTGCTTTTGCAGTGTTTCAATATACGTCTACTTTTTTCTTTCCTTTGTTTTGAGAGTGGATTTGCATATGGGTTTGTCTAAGTAGTACTTTTTTGGCGTGCCGTTCTAATTAGAAAACCGTACTTCATGTTGTTTTAATTCTCAGTTCATTTATTAATGCATGTTACAGGTATACTTCGGCAAGACAAGAGAAATGGTCTGCACACTGCGACCTCCATCTGAAGTGGCGCAAATGAGAATGCCTGAGAGCTGATTGGACTTTGCATGGTGTTGCAGATATAACTACACATTTGTCTGTTCTTCTGAATGCTTTAACTTGCTTGCTGATTATGTGTTCTGCATCTGGCATTGATAGTCTCACATGGATAGGAAGAGAGGATTGTTGGAGAGGCATTGTTTGTAGAGTACTGTGTTTACTATCGAAAGGTATACTGTTTCTTGTAACACTCAAGCGGAACTGTCAAATTCATCAGATGACGTGTAATTGTTGAAGCCCTTCTATATCTGGGCTTATTGCCTGTGAACTGATTACAACTCATGTAAACACTACAGTGTTTCAACGAAATTATTTGACTTTGAGTATAGTAGCATGCGCATTTATTTCAGATACAGTTCAACACAATTCTAGAGATGATGCTAAAACCTTTAAAAAAATTTTACCATTTGCAAGTCATAAATAGTGTGGTTAATATTTCATATGCTTGAAGCAGCACATGCAGAGATGTGTCTAAACTTCAAAGTCTATGAAGAGATGTGTCTAAACTTCAACTATAATTGAGAATATTTGTAGGGTCATATGCCTAAACATTTTTTTTCCCTGATAAAGCATAGGTATCCTCCTATTGTAAAGTACTAAATGTGAACATTTCTTCTAGCAAGGATTTTCGTCACGTTGTGAAAGACTAGTCCTTTCTACCTGTTAGTCATACGCTTAAACATCTAATTTGAAGTATTGATACATGTCAAGTGTCTGTTCATTGTGTCTTTTTTTTTCCCATTAAATACAAGGAAACACAATAATAAAGTATAACAACGTACAAGAAAATACAATAATAGTTTGATTATAATAATAATAATAAAATATAACAACATTGAGAGTTTTGATCTTTTTGAGTTCTCAATAACTAAAATTAATAATTATTAATACCAAATTCATCATTAAAATTTATTCAAATCTAGTGTTTAGGATATTAGGAGTTAAATGCAAAAAATAAAACTAATAACAATATAATTATCTAAACCGGTTCATCACCTGTTCATACCGATCCACACCTATTTGACCGTATTAATACCATCAATTTCTCACCAATTCAGCACTCAGATCGAACTGGCCCCAGTCAAGCTTTTTTTCTCTTTTCCTTGCCAAAACCAATTCAAAAAAGAGCCACGCGAAAAATAATAATTTTTATGGATTAGCCGGAAGATTATTTTTATTTTATCTATTAGAATAAAAAAATATTCAAATCTAAAATATATTAATAAAATAACATTAAATATAGACCAATTATTGGGTAGCCCAAAGCCTAAACATTTTGGGCTGACATCAAATTCATAGTCTTGTGAACGCTAAATGGGTCGCATCCTATCACATCTCATTGCATTAACTCACACCCTTTCCCTCAATATAGGATCCAAAGCAATATATTTATGAAATCTAAGTTTTTGCTATAGCAATAAAAAAATTTTGCGGTAGGCTAGCGTAGCTTGCATCATGATTATGAATGCGCATCTGAACGCCCTATAAAATTGTACCAAGTACAAACAAGTAATTACCATGAAAATAATATGTTAAAGATTGGTTTATTTTCAAAAATAAATGTGTAACTTGTTATCACCTTAAGAATTCTCCTAAACCTGCTTTAAATAATTATCTATGCACATAGCAGCAATCTTTTCATGTGCCAGGTAACTTAACCACGAGGCATTCCAAAGACTCTCACCTGTAGGTAAGGCAAATTTATAACATCCTCTAGTAATATCATATTGGCAAGCCGTTTCCATCTAACTACTATAAGGTTCAACATCTAAGGTAAATATCCAGAACAGATAAAATGTCAGCCCCCTCAAAAACCTAAATGAACCCCGAGGCAGTAAGCAAGCTCTCGGTGCTTGAACTCATGGTTGAAGCCATGTTTTCAGGCTTTAGCTTCAGGTTCACCACCTTGTTCGTTGCCCACAGTCGCTCCTGTGAGATGTTCATTGCCAGAAGATTCTTTACCAGAAGTGGCCTCTTCTTTGTCGCTCTCCTCATCTGCAAAAAGGTCAATAGACTACAATCAAATGTTGCTGACACAAAAAAAACTACAGGTTCATGATGAGTTTATATCATACTCCCTCATATCATTACTATAAAAACTAGTTGAAATGTTGAATCTAATCATAAATATAAAACATCAATCCACAAATCTCTCATATTTATCATTTTTCCCAAATTTATCTAACTTTAAACCAATATATAATATAATGCTATATAGAGGTATTTTAGGAAGAATGTTATGTAGAAGTATTTTAGGAAGATCAGGTCACATCTATTATAATTACCTAATTTTTCTAGATTCCTTCATCTATCCAACTTAATTAAATGACTTTTATATCAAGGTAATGGGGATTTGGAGGTGAAGATGGGGGATCAAATTATTCTTCAAGTATCAAAGTTTAAATATGTAGAATCCATTATACATAAGGATGGGGCAATTGAGGAAGACGTTTCTCATAGAATACAAGCTGGCTGGTTAAAGTGAAGGAGGCTACCAAAGTTATTTGCGATAAGAAGGTACCCGAGAAGCTTAAGGGAAAATTTTATCGTACTGCTATAAAACTAGCTATGTTGTACGGTAGTGAATGTTGCGCAATAAATGAAAAACAAGAGCACAAAGTTGGGGTGGCAGAAATGAGGATGTTGAGATGGATGTGTGGTCATACAATAAAAGATAGAATTCGAAATAAAAGTATCAAAACAAGAGTCGGTGTGGCACCTATCCAAGAAAAAATGATTGAAAATCGCTTAAGATGGTTTAGACATGTACAGAAAAAGCTATTGGAAGCCCTGGTGAGAAGGATAGATTAGATAATATGGAGTCCCATAAAAAAAAAACAGAGAAAGACCGAGAAGAACGCTTAATGAGGTCATTGAACGAGACTTCCTAGTCAACAACATATCTAAAGATTGGCTTGTTGATAGAATACGATAGCATCGTGTGATTCATATAGCCGACCCTACCTAGTGAGATAAGGCTTGTTGTTATTGTTGTTGTTGTATCAAGCACTAGAGGTAGTATAAAGAATGAAGCATGCAGGCTCCCTTGACTAAAAAAAAAAAGTGAAAGTATATATTTCCATAAACACAATTACCTTCATCATCGCCTGCAGCAAAATCACCCAGTCCCTCACCACCTCCCATGCCCAACTTCTGGAAACCCCAAAAAAAAAAAAATAGTAGAATACGTGTAAGAAGCCTGTACGTAGAAAATACATAAAATTGTGCTTTGGAGTTGTTGGTACTTACAGAAAAATCTAAGCCACTAAAGTCCATGTTATTATCAGCTCCAACTGAAAAACAACAGACAAGTGAGATAAACCAAAGAAAATAAAGGGCTTGAATTCAGATAAACTTGAGTACAGTCACTCACTGCTATTATCTTGCTCCTCATCTTCATCAACCCATTTGTCCCAATCAACTTTCAAAAAAACAGGAGGTTTCCCTCCCTGCTTCAGCAATCTATCCCACCACTTTTCTTCAGCCTTTTTTACTAAGTAGCAGATATTTCTGGAACCAATACTAGCCTTACTCTCCTAAAAGGAGGATTAAGGGAGCAACTTTCACGAAATTGTAGAGAACAGGTATAATCAATGAAATTGCTACAAAAATGGCAACCTTACCTCTACATTAACCTTGTCATATAGATCGAAGTCAACTTCATAAGGAGCTTTTGCTGCACCAGCAGTTGCTGAGAAGTAGAATTTTCCTTCCGGCTCCAGTTTAAGTTTCACATCTTGGGCATCAGGCAACTCAATAGTTATGTAGAGCTTATCAGACCTCTGGGCCCATTTGACATCCGGGTGGCGGCTGCATATTACAAATCAAAAGAATTTAGTGATCCTGAAAGAAAAAAATCTTCCTTTTCACATAAGAAATTATCCTATGTAATGGCAAGGCATCTAGGTTGAAATGATTTCCTTTCCTTTTGAATGTTAACAAGTATTCCATTTGCTGATCTTAACCATGAATAATGACTTGGGTCTGTTTGGAAAAATTTGACATTGTGACAGAATATAATCTCACCATAATAAAATTTGAATATTCCTTCATCCTCACCCAACAACATTAAAAGTTAAAACATGAATCAGGGGGCACAAGGAAACACAAATAAGATACAACATCAATATATTGATGTCATATCAAGTATAGCTGCTTCAATACCACACCTATACCCAATCTGAAAGTGCAGACTCCAGCAACAAACAACAACAACAACAACAAGCCTTATCCCACTAGGTGGTGTCAACTACATGGATTACATGATGTCATTATGTTCTATCAACAACCAAATCCTTAGATAGGTTGTTAACCAAAAGATTCCATTCAATAAAAAGCATTATAAAAATATTCAACAAAAATAAATCATTAGCACGCAGCCATTTATTAACTAAAATGAGTTCTTTTAAGCTACATAGATCAGTGATCAAAGCTGAATTAAATCCAAAAATCTAATAAAAGTACAAGCGTGCCTACCTCCTCTATTTCTGAACAGGAAAACACAAATAAACTAAGCAGCAAGCACCTAACCTGAATGATCTTAGATGTACTCTCAACGATAAAGTTATACCATAAAGAGCAAATTAGAATGAAATCAAGAACTCGTGAATAACGTCAGCTACAGAATCCAGACAAAATAATAGCAAGTCAAAGTAAAATAAAACCTATAGCTATAACCAATACTTGTTCACTCCAATTTCTTCACAGAAAAACTGTTTGAAGTCAAGAGGTGAAATCCTAAAATTGATTATCTACATGTGCAAGGACTCTGGTACAAGAAGAACAATACCCAAATCCCATAAAAAATCCTAAACCCTAAACCCTGAAATAATAAACACAAAAAAATAACCCTATCAAAAAGAAAGGGAAAAAGAAAACGAAACAACAACACAAAGAATTCAAAATACAGCAAATTATATTCAATCCATCAAGAGTCAAAGAGCCAAAGTTAATATAACTGAAACCTAGTCTTCCATATACTATCGAGTTTTCCGCTGACAACTTTCTCAGAAGGTAAACAACACCAAGAGAAGTGCATATGTAAGAGGAAAACTAAGCGAACCTCATCTTCGAATTTTATCTGATCACTCCGAAGCAGCTTACAGTCTCTAGACTTTCTCCGAGAATGCCCAGAGGAACGATGAGAAAATGCGATGGGTGGATTCATTTGCTATTTATATTTTCCGTTTTTATTATCCAAACAGGCAAAATCGCATTCGGTATTTTTGATTTTAGTCTCTAAAATATTTGAAACTGGTATTTTTAATCTCAAAAATATAATCTCTCATTTTAATTTTATTTTTTAAAAAGATTAAAAATACTGTTGTAAATTTTCAGAGGCCAAAAATATTTAGATGAACCAAAATGAAATTAAAATTTATAGACCAAAATAACTGCTTTTAAATTTTAGGAACTAAAATCAAAATAACATCAAAGAGAATTAAATATACTATTAATCTTTATTTATTTTAATTTTTTTCAAAATCATTATTCACAAAAGAAAATATAGCTATATCTACTCCCTACTGTAACAAAATTATTAGTAATATGATGAATATATATTAATTAATTCTAAATCGGCAAGGAAGTTTGCTGTCACTTCAAATAATTTGTGACAAAAACTTAATTAATAATTTTGAAAAATAATTTCTGCTCTTAAAAGGTCAATTTTTCAAAATAATAAAATCTAGGAAGAATTTCAAAAAAAAATACTTTTAAATTTTCAAATTAAAATCAGTTATATTTACTATATTTTAATAATAATTGACAATGTTTAAAAAATAAAGGATAACATATTCTCGTAGTCATTCTTAATTTGAGATTTTAAAATTACAGGGATTTTTTTTTTTTTGGATTTGCCCTAAAATCTGAAAGTTACTTAATTTTATGCTTGCTAAATAATCTTTATTTTCGTATTAATGTTAATGTTATTATTATATTTTGTGAATTGTGTCCTAGAGGTGGTAATTTTCCACTCAATATCATGAACAGAATACGTGACTTTGAAGCAATCTAAGAGATTTAGAGGGAAGACTAATACGGCGTAATATTTGTAGGAGAAGATTATAAAAATTAAAATTAATTAAAAGGATCAAATATTGAAATATAAATTTAAAAATATCATATTATCACTATCCAAAACTTCTACATTTTCTCCTATATTTCTACATACATTTTATTTTTAAAACTAATTTGAATTAACAAATTTCAGTAAATTAAACTTGATTTCTCTCAAGGTTTACAATTTGTGTAGAAATCAATTTAAAAAATATGCAAACATTGTTTATTCATGTCCAAATTAAAGTTGTATTTTGTTTATAAAAAATTAATTTTTTAAAAAAACTGTCACATATTTTAATTGAAAATAAAATTTAGATAATTTTATTGAAATTTAAATTATAATATAATTTATTATATATATGATTTTAAAAATTCAAAGAAAGAAAATTTGTATAATTTATTTTTTTATTTAATAGGAAATTTATATCAGATATAAAAATTACAAAATTCTTCTAATGTCAAGAAATTTAAAGGATTCAAATAATATATTATAATTTTATAAGACCCCTCCTCTAAATCATTTAACAAAAGCCACCTAATTACATAATAAAAAAATTCAAGTAATGTTAAGAAATTTAGCGAAGTCATTTTCGTCATTTTTTAAATTGTTTATATAATAAATTGTATAATAATCTAAATTTCAATAAAATTATATAAATTTTATTTTTAATTAAAAGAAAATTTTAATTTTTGATAAAGAAATAAAACTTTAAATTTTACATGACTAAATAATGTTTACGTTTTTTTTTTTTTGATTGATTTTTACGTAGGTTTGAGAGAAACCATGTTTAATTTGGTGAAATTTATTAATTTGTGTTAGTTTTAAAAATAAAATATAGGAGGAAATATAAAAGAAAATGTGGGATTTAAATAGAAACAATATAGCATTTTTAAATTTATATTTAAATATTTAGTCCTTTTAAATAATTTTTATTTTTATGATTCTCTCCCATAAATATCACTCCTTATTGGTACTTCTCTCTAATTCTCCCAAAAATAATTAATTTGACTAGTTGAAGAAAGTTAGTCATTTTTTAAATAAGGGTGAAAAATCATTCATTATCCTAGTCTTATTTATGGCACCTTAATCTTACATTTCTAGTGCTTTCAACACCCTAATCTTATTTATGACATATTGATCTTATGTTTCCTACGCTTCGAGTATCTTAATTTTATTTATAATACATCTAGTATCATAAAAAAATTAGGGTGCTGGACTGAACACACTAGAAAAATAAGATTAGAGTGCGACATAAATAAAATTAAGGTGTCAGATACATTTAAAAATAATATCAAAGGCAGTAAATACTACACTTTACCCTTTAAATAAGACCAAGTCAATCAAGACAAGTTTCTCATGATCCTGTTGCACCCTAACAAAAATTAACAAGTACTGAAATTTTTTCAAACAACTGTATAATTTTTAATTAAACTATATATTTATCATGTCGTCATTAAAGAAAAATTAGAATTCAAATTGAAAAAAATCATTTACTTAATATCATAAGCAAAATAGTGTCAATTCGAAACAACCTAAACTTCAATATTGAAACAATCTATCAGAAACAATTTAACTATTAAATGCCTTCTGAGCTTACAATTAGTGAGAACTGCAACACTTGTTGATAAATACCGTAAACCTATTATGCATAACCTTTTTAACATTGAGATTATACATTAATTAAGGATACAACAACAGAGAGATTTTAAGTTTAAATCCAAAATCTCCATATTCTCTACCAAATTGACTTGATAACCCACAAATGTTTATCAGCAAAAATACAAATCAATCAGTGTTTCAAATTACAAAATTGGTAACGTGAAAACTAGGTATTCTTTCATGAGCTTACACGTTTAAGTACACCAAAATCAACTGTCCCCACCCTGAAGATTTCCATGACCATTAAATAATGAGTATGATACAGAATGAAGAGAGCAAGAGAATTTGGTAAGCTAGCAAAGCCACCTTCGCAAGATGAACTGAATTACAACTAGGAAGCTTCAATCAAAATACCAAGTATATGCCTATTGGAAAGCCTCCTGGAGATGGGTCAGAATCTTTCCCCATCAGCAAATCTAGCTGTAAGGGAAGGAAGATTGCTCCCATCAGAATTCAGAAGTGACAATAACACATGATCAACTTTTACTGCATGAAACTAGTCCATCTTTTTTGCTTGGCCAAATAAAACTAGTCCTTCTTCAATGCCTTTGCTGTAAAACCCCCTTCCGCTCGCTTTACAAGATTGTACGGCATGTATGTCCCAAGAATTTTGTCCCATATTGAAAAGAATGGTTGAGAATAGTTGTACTTCAGCCCTTGTAGTTGATGGTGGATATCATGATAAGCTGTATTGTTCTGGAAAAACATGTGGAAGATATTTCCTGGCAACCAGAGTCCACAATGATCATCCACGGTCTTAATGACAGCAAAGCAAAAGAACACGATGGCTGTTCTGGCAGTCATTCCAGAAACTAGATACGAGATGGCACCACCAAAAGTGTCGAGAAGAAGACCCTCAAGAGGGTGGTTATACAGGGCACCTATTGCATAAGGAACAACTAGTTTGTGATGTTGAGAGTGGATATGACGATATAAAAATTTGTTCTGATGCATGTAGCGGTGCACAAAGTATTGCCATGTATCCATGACAAACATAGCAATGACGATCTGAAAAGCTTGTACCAGAATAGAAGGTTGCACTGTAACCCCAGATGCATTTGCATTTGAGGTCAACTGCAGAATTGTAGTAAGCATCATTTTAGTAGTTAGGAAACAAAAAATAAGTATATACAATGAATTGAAGATACCAGAGTGCTGAAATGAAACATATTATAAGCCGCATATTGATAAACATGTATCAGTAGAATTTTCTGCCAGCGTTAGATAAATCATCAAATGCTACAGAACCACGTCAACAAGCTGAAAGAACAGCTGTGAAAGAGTTAAATAAAGTTCTACTGAGTGCATCAACATCAAAAGTGCCATTATAATTGTGATTTGGTTTTTGGAAAAATTACATTTCACCCCCTCAAGCTAAAGCCTACTTAAATTTTTAGCACATCAATTTTAAATTGTAACAAAATAAAGTTTCATTTTCATGGAAAAGAGCACAATACTCTTTCTCATTTGCATTTAATGCGGGAGTATTTACAGCTGCCACCACCTCCTGAGAGAAAAGGAAAGAAGAAGAAGGGGTGCTTTATTGCCCTCTAAAACCGATGTACTAGAGTTGCTTTTAAGCCTTACTTAAATAAGAATGATCCTTATTCCATCTGGTAAGTCAACTACATAGAGCACGTAAAGCCAACTTTGGGCCTTAATTAATGAGAATCAATGGTATTTTTCCCTTGACTTTTATCATTGTTCAAGCAAGTCAGTCATCAAGGTTTTTATTTACTTATTTGAAGGTTACTAGGGAACATGATGGTGAAATTGGAACTTTAGCTTCTAGCTCCCTATAATGATCAATATTCATGGCTTACAAGTTATTGTCTCCTTAAGGCTATCATCAGCTAAGCAACACATAAAGGAATGAGACTACTTTGTCAAGTAAGCTCAATCTAAAATATCAAGACTGACTGATTGAACTACTTCCTTACAGTGTATGCATCAAACTGTCATTAAAATTTTGTTGTTTCAGACAGAAAAACCAAATGCATACTTTACCCAAACCAACCATATTTCAGGTATATGTCACAATTAGAACAGGGGGCAGAAAGGGTGCAGATGAATCAACCATTGACCTTTGACTCCTCAAGAACACACTAAAGTTTCTGTTAAGCATCATGCATTAAGTAGCAGCAGGTCATAAAAGCCTGCGAAGGTCATTTGGTTAAGATACAGAAATGATAATGAATCAAGGAAGGACTCCAATTACTAGGGAATGGAAGCCCTAATGAAACAGGTCATTTCGTTATAAATCCAAAGCACAGGTTTCTTCCCCATAAACGAACTTAATACTTGGGTAGCTACCATTACCAGCACATGTATGAGGTACTTATGAGTGTTACAAAATGCATTCATACTCAATACTTCCAAGCAATTATGGCGGGGAAAACTCCAACAGACAAGAAAAAGTAAATTTTCAGGGAACAGCCTGCATTGGTAAGTGAACCAATGAAAGACTATCCTTGCATTCAAAATTATAATTCATCCCAAGAAAGCAAGCAATTTTATAATTATTTATGTAGAAGATAGACAAGAAGAAGCTGCGACGTACAAGAAAAATGCAGACGCACAGTTAAAGCTTACGTGAATGAATGTTCTCATTTCCATCCCAAACAAATTCTAAACTGCAGGTAGAATGATGGCTTCATTAAATCCTTTATTAGCACCAAAATGAGAAAAATCAACTCTCACAGCATGGTTTCAGCAAGCAGTAATTAACAGAAGAACAGGGTCCCAATCTCAAGAGCCCACCAAGTTAACTTCTCCTTCCATCAACTTATCCGCTATCATACAATGCCTCAGCCCAAATGGCAAATGGCAGCACCAAGAGCCAAGCTTTGCCTCAAAAATAAAATTCTTTCACATAAAAGAGACCCACTTTTTTTGTGGCAGAAATATTATCTGATTTAGTAACAATGACCTTTGATTGCTCAAGTCCTCTCCTATCCAAAGCAACACGTAAAAAATAACGATCTAGGATGGAATTTTCAATTGCAGCGGTACCACTATTACATAAGCTGCACAACTTCATCCATGGACCATCTAAAGAGCCGCATACCCCCCCCCCCAAAAAAAAAAAGAAAGAAAAAAACACACAAGGGGAAGAGGAAAGAGTTGCATGGCACATGCATTCTTCCCTCAACACCAGTTTAAGGACTGCTTAATAATAGCAGTAAAACAAAAGGACAAAAAAAATTCAGAAAGACAAAAGCGTACTCTAGTGGGGTAGAGAACTCTCCCCCCAAATTTGGCTATTGAGGTGCATGCATGCAGAGTTCAAGAATGACCTTAGAAACCATACAGCTCAAACAACAGCATTAACCCGTTAACAATTGAAATTTGGGTTAAACAATCAACTAAAAGGTTTTGGGGAGAAATTTCAATGTGACATCTTCACCATCTTTGGCAGATTGAAATTTTACAGATAATCTGAGAAACAATAAGGAATTTGAATCATTGAGCAATGTTTCTCACCCTTATCATCAACAAACTATAAAGGCGGCGCATAAAAGGAAATTGGGACATCTACAAATGTATTACAATGCCAAGGAAACAAACATCTAGTTAGTTAAGGGAACTCTTAAGGTCAACATTATTGATGATTCTGACCTTCCCTTTCATGCAAAAGCCTTTAGAGCTTAAGCAAGGACCAGGCATGGACCTATCCAAACCTTATTCTAGAAGTTAGGGCAGCAAGGACAACTTTTTACAGCTAGGTTCAAGACTGAAGAGGCTCTAATACCATGTCAACGCATAAACTCCCCCAAAAAGCTAAAACCACCGTTACGAAACTCAAGAATGACATTTATTAGTATATCTAACACACCCTGTCGGAGCCCAGAAACAGATGGATAATACTAATAATTAATAACTCATTCATAAATATAACAGATGTAAATAGTTTTGCAAATTTCTATCATTAATTTATTGTGCAGCACTGCAGATGGAAACATGGCTTTTGGTTTGATAGACAGCAAAATAAACCTAATAATAATAAACAAAATATGTTAACTCCCCAAATATTCATCAATCAAGACAAGAGACAACTGTAATTTCCTGGCAACATCTGAAAACTTCTACGAGGTTTAATTTAGCATAGAAGATAAATTAATAGCTAGCAATACATGTTGTACTGTCAAGACTTTCCAATGCTCATATCACAAGATTTTCAATTGTTTCCAGTTCTTTTCGTTTACAAGAAAGAATAGCAGCTTTCCTTGAAGATTCAGCATATTGCCTACACATACACAACTCAGCTACATTATTCAACTTTTAATACAACTTCTCTTGGAACATGCTACATATTGCATAAATTATTCAGCATTTAACTCTCTCCGCCATGTTTAAACCCTTCTATTCAAGCTGTATTATTTTCATTTATTTTTCTTTTTACAATGGAAAAGAAATTATTAACAAAATACAGAATAATACAGCATGTAAAAAAGAAGAGACGAGATCATCCACAAACAAAAGAAACCAACCCAGGCAGTAACACAGAAGGGTCTTCCAATCCCTTTGAAGACCCACAAGGAACCAACCCCCGAAGAAACCAATCGCAAAAATTGATGGGGTGGAAAGAATTGCTAATCAAAAGCCTATCATTCTATTCAAACCAATAAACACCACAAATTGGCAGATAAATTTATGCTTCTTTTGCATCCCATGTGAAAAACCCTGAGATCATCAGGACAAACTCAACTCTCATTTAAAGAAAAAACCTATTTTAGATATATCAAACCACTTCCTTCAGCAAAAGAGATGATTCAGCTGATGTTTTCAAGTCCTTATTATGATTTATACAAGCAAGTTGGTCAAGCAGCTTATCCTTTAACTCATATTTGCTATAGCTTTCCTCAGGTGTTAGTTTATTAGTTGATTGCCATATACAAAAGTGCAAATAGATATGCCTCCAATTTCAATCAAAGGATGTTTGTGACCTTATTGGATTAGTCAGCAACTATGTTTTGCCATTCCTTAACTGTCATATAATAGAACACAGATGAAAAGATCCCAAAAAAAATGTATGTGATACATGATATAGCAGAAGAAATTTCATAAAATGATAATATGAAAAGTTGCTGATTCAAAACCACAGCCTGGACTAAGAGAAGTTGAGAAGTGAACGAAGTATGGTAAGCTTATGGCCAAGAAAAGAAGAGGTTGTGAGACAAGAATATTAAGCATTCAAACACAATATAGGAGCCAATAAGCTGATAGCTCACACGTCTCCAACCTTAGCCTTCAAGCTTCAAGTAAGCTTGATATTCTAGGATTAATTCCCTACGCCTTCCCCTTTCACTTTCCCACATTCAAGCACCAAAATTGCTAAAAATTTATTTTGAAAAAAGCAAGAGATTTCTTGCCTCATTGACTTGAGATAATCACCGAGTTCTTCTCAGTAAGGAACTACAGTTTTATCCCCTCAACAAACTTCTTTATTATACACGGAAGCAAGAGATATTAATCCACGTCATCATATGTTCTTGGTTGAAATGTTTACTCGCATAGTATAAGATCCTCTGTGACTAAATGTTCCACGTCCATTCGCCAGAATTAAAATGAATTTCAGCGCAAGGTAGAGTGTACTGAACCTTTTTTAATTCAACTTTATTATCCCCAGAATACACTCTCTTCACCCCCGCAATCCACATTTGGGGGGGGGGGGGGACTCAAGGCTGTTTATCAGTTCATTCAGTTATGATCAGTCGTTTAAAGGAAAAAATAATAACCTGGCTATTTAATTTGATGCACGGGTTTTAGCTTTCTCTAAGTGAAGTCAGTCGTCAAATCACTTTGCAAGTCAAATGAAAGGGGAATGATCCAAAATAAAAAGTGGGGTATCCCAAAAGAGAAAATAGATGAAGAAAAAGACAAAAAGAGTTAATGCAGGCGAAAGCAACAAGAAAATGCAGGGGACGAGTTTAAAATGCAATCGAAGGTTTCTTTAGGAATGCTACTAGCCACAAATCTCAAACACAAATTAGTAGGAATGAGCTCAATCGTCGAAGGACTTACCAATAGTAGTGCCACGGTTGCCTGAACAAGCTGTTGAAGTAGAACACCCTTCACCACGGCCAAGAGTGGCACCAAATTCTTCTCTTCCTCTTCTCTTCTAGAATGTAACCGATAATTGTCCAAAGGTGGCAACAACTGATAAAATCCAGCGTATATCCAATAAAGCACAATAGGGGCAAACGTGCCCATCACTTCGTCGCTCACATATCCTTCCCAGAAAACCATGATAGGTCCAATGTGAAAGTGAAACAAATCAACTCAATGCGAGTAACTCAAGCCCCAGGAAGGAAAAAAAGGGGCGCAAGTCAAAGTTTCATTACAACAGGAGATCTAATAACATTGAATGAATTCTTCCCTCACGCCCTGTAAAGGAAAATGAGAATGAGAATTAACACATGCAATAATCCAACTGCATGTTTATATGTTTCGCAGGTTTTGGGGGGAAATCAGATGAACCACACAATAGAACCAAAATTCAAAATTCAAAAAAGAAAATCTGGCAAGCCCAACAGAATACATGACATTCTTCCCAATGTAGAAATGGCTTACCACTTACAAGCATAACCAGTTGATCAAAAAACTGTCGTCGTCTTAGAAACCCTCCAAAAGAGAAAGCGCATTGGACATTCAGATCTAAGCGTTTGAATGGATAAACAGTTGGTGAATGGTGACAGTTGTGAGATTCCAAAATATCGAAACTTTATATTATTTTGATCTGCTTTCTTTGCCCCTCCACTCCACCTTCTTCTCGGCGAGAGAAGAATCGTGTTTGGGAGACAAGAAAATGATTGAGGTATTTTCCTTTCTGGCATCAACTTTTTTTCCTCCCCTCTTTTTTGTAGAAGGTGGCGATGAGAGAGAGCAGCGAGGCGGGCATCGATAAAGTTCCGATATTTCCAGCTCACAAAAAAAGCTCCGAAAATGGATGCTTACACGTGCTGCGTTCATCATCGCAGACACAGTAGCCTCTCCCTTCCTTCAATCACGTACGTTCAAAGGCTTGGGACCACGCGATGCGACGCACGTACCATCCGTACACCTTTTTTTTTTTTTTTTTACAAACATTAGACCATCAAAATCAAACACGCATAACTGAAGTTCAATTTTTGACTCGTAAAAAAAGAAAAAAGAAGGTTCAGTCCAAGAGTGTAATTTTCAAGTTTATAATTATTATAGTTAACTAATATTGTTATTATTGACATTTAATATTTCAAACTCTCAACTTCTGTCTCAGCCCCCCCTTGTATAATTTTGTGAATTGTGATTGTGCTATTTGACCTAATTTTAGATGACATTAATAATATTGTGACCTTTTTTGGTTAAGCATAGGCTCTTTTTTTATTAGAAACAATTTTATTTGAGATACTATTAAACAATAAATGTGAATCCTTTTTACTAAACTCAACCCGTATTGATAATAATATTGTGACAATGATACAAAAGCCCTTCTAAAAATAAGAATTGGTTGATTTGATCTAGTAACACACTATTGGTTTTTGTTGACGTTTGCTCACAAGTGAAACCTCCTATCTTATTTTAAATTTTGAAAGAGGTTAAAACAAGGTAAATAATATTTTTAATAATATTATTAAATAGACTAGCTGTAGAACTGGCTATTGAATTGAAAGATAAAAATTATCTTCGCCATGAATTTTATTTAATGTAAATATATATTAAATAAAAAGCTTAAATATAAATTTATAGTAGATGTTCACCTAAAATGGTTCTACAACAAAAGCAAAGTGGAAAACGTAATTTTTCATGTAAAGACTCTAGTTATGGTAAAGGGAGGCAGCAATTACATGTGTTTATCCTATCTCAGGTAGACATTTGAAAGGTTACTCTAGATTTCTAGTACACCTGGGATTTTTCAACTCAGGCATCAAGAGTTAGTTCTTCAAACAAGGAAGAAATAATGGATATAAAATAATGAATAATTTTGATTTGATTATTATTTTTTTTAAAAGTTTTCAATTAATTTTTGCACTATTTTTCACATCCTTTTCTATTAAAAGTTTATAACTCCATTTGTTTGAAATTTTAAAATTGAAGTCATTTATTGAAAAAAAAAATCCCCCCATAACCCTCATTTCCCCTCGACCCAAACAAAACTAAATGTCATAATTAATAAAAGAAACCTCATTGTCAATTATACTGAGGTTTTGGCTTAGGTTAATTTAGCCATTGTTGTTTCACTTATTGAATTATGTTAGGAGTAGTTTGGCTTGAGTTGGTGATGGATTAATTGGATTTTTTAAGGTATTGAATTATGTTAGGAGGGGTTTGGTGTGAGTTGGTCATGTTTTAATTGGATTATATTTTTTAATTTTAATTAGTAATATTAATTTGGTTAGGGGAACTTTGGGTCCCATTGGGCCCAAAAGGTGGGGTATTTATAGCTTAGGATATGGTTCTAATTCAGACAAGCATAAATCACCTGATTTAAATGTTCATATGTATGGGCCAAATATGTCAAATATTAGGCATTCTGATCAATAAGAATCTCCACGTTGTGCACTTTATTGTCAAAAGTCAATTGTGTTTTCAAAAATTGTTTGCTATTGTGTGTATGGTCTGAATTTGAAAGCTTTTCTACCTTAAAGAAGACACATAAATATTAAAAATAAATCAGGTTCGACATAATTTGAAATTGTATAATTTTAAGCCATGCATTTTTAAAATTAGTAAAAAATTATAAAATTCTACAACCCAGAATTTAATTGAATTTTTTGTGCTCATAGGAGGGTTATCTGGTTTTGAACCTTTTAAATGTTTTCTCTTGTATGTCTATGAATTTTGAGAATTTTTAAGTTCATTAGGTTTGGTGAATATAAGCTCAAATTAAGCGTGCTCAAAATTAAAACGGGAAAATAAAATTTGAGGCCCCTTATAAGAGAATTATTAGTATTTTGGTTCCTATTTAAAAACAAAAAAACATAATCCACATAATACTCCTCCAGTTCTTAATGTCAGACCTAATTAACTAATTTAGTTAATATGATAAATTTTTTAAAAAAACACTCTAAGCATCTTTTTATTTTTTTCCTCCCTCCCTACTTGATTATTATTGAGGGAATATCAATTGGGTTAATTTAGAAAAATTTGATAATTATATTAAATAGGTCTTATATTTAGAATCAATATTAACTCTCTAATTAGATCTAACATTAAGTAACAAAGGATTGTATTATATCTAATTAAAAGGAAAAAAATCATTGTTTCAAGGATCCTGTAACATTCCAGTTTTTTTTATTTTAAGATTTAAGTTACGGTAAATGAGATTAATTAATAGTATTCAAAATTAAATCTCATTGAATAAATTGTAGATCATAAATTTTTGTGATATATATAAATTATAAACAGAATAAATAAATGAAAATCTAAATATATAATATAAAAATAATAATTAAATAAAATAAAAATAAGGGGAAATGGCAAATAAAAACCCTTGAATATATAAAATTTTGATTCCAGTTCTTGAATTTATCTAATTTCTGTCAAGGACCTAATCTCAAATAAGAATTATGAAATGTTGGTTAAAAAATAGAAATGTGCTTTTGCTTTTCATATAATCTTCCCATATCCATTTCTCAACCTCTCTCGTCATCTCCATCTTTATTTGCTCCATCCTCCCAAACTCATCTCTTAAAATCTTAATTGCACTCATCATCTCTTCCACTGGATCCCTCTCTCTCTACCCCCCGATCTTCTCCAATCTGGTTCTATGTTCCAAAATTGTCTTCATCATCATGGGTAAGAGAGATAGAACACCATTAGCAGAACCAAAGGATGTGATTGGATGTAAAAAGAAAGAGAGGCTAACCCTTCTTCTTCAACCTTCAATGACAAGAGCTAGAATGAGTGAAGGGGAGAAGAAAGCCATTATCACTGTTCATCTCCACCTTCAATGAAGAATCAAAGAAGACATTGTGGAAGCTGGATCATGAAAATAAGATTTATAAAACTAATAAAGCATTACTGACTCTCACTCTTTTGATATTTGCATAGTTAGCTTGAAAGATTTTCTTTACCTTTATTTGATTTTAATTTCTTTTTACTTATTTCAGTTCAATTTGGCTTGCTAAGTCACCATGTTTATATATTATTCTTGAATTTACGTACCAAATTGATTCGTTTAATCTTCTTTGACTTGCACAATCACCATCTTTCACTTATTTCATGCTCGATTTAGCTACAAGATGGGTTTTAAGAGTTATAGATTTTGTATGGTGTCTTTGTGCTATTGTTAATAACATTAGACTTGAATGGTTAACAAAGGTCCTGTTCTGTTTTGTTTTCTCTTCTTACTAACTTGTTATTTCAAGCATACAAGTTGTTATTTTCATAACTTGATTTGTTAGTTTGAATAGTTAATTTGTTATACTTCACTTATTATTTAAAACAGTGAATTTTTTATTTCTATATTCATTCTTATTACTTAGAATAACTGGTAATTGCAGAGTTGTAATTTGTTATATTTCACTAGATGTAGTTGTCAATGACTATATGTTGAATGTTTTATTGAACTCAGTATGTGATTTGCTCAACTGAATGCAATACTGAAGTTGTTATTTGATATACTTATATATAATACTTAAGTTGTTATTTGCTAAGTTCAACTTGTTACCTAGAGCAGTGAAGTTGTTGTTTGATATCATTAACTTGTCATGTACTATATTTAAGTTGTGATTTTCTAACTTCAACTTGTTATTTATAGTAGTTAAGTTGCTGTTTGATATACTTATTATGTGTAATATTTAAATTATCATTTGCTAAACTCAACTAATTATTTGGAATAATTAAGTTATTATTTGATATGCTTAACTTGTTATTTGCTATACTTAATTTGCAAGAGCTGACAAGGGATGGAACACTAAGTGGATAGACTATGCTAATGTGCACTTGTCATTGAATCTTGTAAAAAACTGGTTGTTGTCAAAGCACATCTGATTTTTTATTATTTGGCTTATCATTATTGTAATTTTGGTTGCTAGTGTTATTAATACAGACTTTTAACTATTATGACAACAACATGAGATGACAATCTGATAATGACGATCTTTTTATATTGTGCAAAGGAATGTCAGCATTTTCTGTTATTAGTTCTATGTTGTAACAATGTAGAGCTATTTAATGTTGTCCACTTAATCAAAAAGGTGATGACCACCATGCAGTAACAGAAACATAGAAATTTTGTCCTTTGCCCTGCTGAACTTGTCACTTCCTAAAGAAATCTAAAAATTTTGTCATTTTAACAGAGAAAATTAAATTTGTATGAAATATTTATCAAAACTTGTCATCTACTAGAAAAATCTAAAAATTGCCATTTGAATAGAGAAAATTAAATTTGTATAAATTGCTTATCAGAAGTTATCATTTGCCTTATTAAACTTGTCATGAATTGTTTATTAAAACTTGTCATCTGCTAAATAAATTTGAAAATTGTCATTCGAATAGAGAAAATTAAATTTATATGAATTGCTTATCAAAAGTTGCCATTCGCCTTACTAAAATTATCATGAAAAGCTTATTAAAACTTGCCATCAGCTAAATAAATCTAAAAATTGTCATTTGAACAGAGAAAATTAAATTTGTATGAATTGCTTTTCAGAAGTTATCATTCATCTTACTAAACTTGTCATAAATTACTTATCAGAATTTGTCATTTGCTAAATAAATCTGAAAATTGTCATTTGAACAAAGAAAACTAAATTTGTATGAATTACTTACCAGAAGTTATCATTCGCCTTGCTAAACTTATCATTCACCAATGAATTATGAAAATTTTGTCATTTTGACATAGAAACTTAAATTCCTATAAATTGCTTATTAGAACTTGTCATATGTATTACTGAACTTGTCATTTACCTTACTAAA